CCGAGCGCGTGCCCGTGGGCGAAGGGAGCCACTCGATTCTGTAGGCGCACCGCGCTTTCTACGGTCGCCCATGCCCCCAACACAACCCTAGCTGGCTTACTATGGCGAGGGGCACTCGCGTTGCGGACGTCGCGGCCCGCGCGTGCGTCTGTAAGGGTGATTTGGAAAGTGCTCCGTAACGGCTTCCAAATTTTGGACGCTAGTGGCGCCAATTTTTCGGGCCCGACTTCGTTCCAATTTTTTTTGAATTTCTTTAAAGAACGCCTACGTATGGTTTTTAATGTGAAGACAACACACACACACACTACGTACAGGTTCCAGATATTTGGAGCTTTGGAAAAAAATGGGAATATTTGCCCTCGTTTAAACGGGTCTTAGTAGAGCATGGGCTTATGCGTGGTACATGTAGTAGAGTCATAGACGACGCAGTGGAGCTCATGCTCCATTCGGCGAAAGAATGCGTACATCATTGACCTGCGTCCTCACAGGGTCAGTCATGTGTGGCTGACGACAGACAGAGCACCCGGCCTGCATGATGATAACACGTTGTTTGATCGCAAAGAAAGAAAGAAAGGCGATTGCAATGAAATTTCGGGGATTGATTGTCTTGCGGATCATTCCGTCCAGCTTGCACATCCATGTCGGAAGGGGTGGGGGCAGCTCGCTTGTTGTAGAAATTAATTCAGTGAAAAAGCAAGCAAGAGACTTTGATCCTCTCTGCCGCGTTGTTGGTGAGCCACACGATTTTCGCCGGAAAGGAACGCTGTGCGCGTTCACTTCTTGGACTTTTACTACAGCAGTACAGCAGTACTCTTCTTTTGCTGATGACAGCCAGCCCAAGACTCAAAAAGCTCGCTATTGCAACGATCATTAAGCGCGGGTTAAAAAGAAAAAGGAAGAAAAAACAGCAGCAGCAGCAGCAGCAGCAACAGCAACACCACACACACCTTTCCCTCACAAACTGGTATCCACAGGAAGAAGAATCAAATCAGCAAACGATGAATGACGGCGAGGAGCACGACCAGGATGGATGGTGGATGATAGAAACTTGATGCAGAACAAAGCATTTTTTTCTAATCACAACAACTAACCTCCCTCGACTAGCCTCTCCCGTGACTAACCCCCGCAATCGCACGCACGTCGTCCGTGGTCGTCAACACACACATGTATATATCCTACCACCGGGCGAGGCAAAAAACCCAGGAAGCAGGCACACTGTCAACCAAGCCGTCACATGGAAATCGGATCCATACCTAATGGCATTGCTATCCTTGCCCGTGCCCGCCCGCGCCCCCCGCCCACTCACGGCCGGCACGCCAACACGCATGCATCCCGTCGAACGATGTCCGCCACCGCCGCAGATTTGAACTATTCAAACTAGGTTTGTCTGTGGATTGCACGCCCACTTCACTTCAGATTCGGACAACCAAGCCACACAACTGCAATGAGAGTTCTTCCCTGTTTGGTGAAGAAAGAAATTTGCTCACACGCACCTCGAATGTGTCTTTTGTCTTGCAACAAGCTAATCAGTCACATGCTTACACGACGCTCTCCTTGTTGCTTCTCACGAATGAACACGTTAGCTACGTGCTACTACCGCCACCCACTGATTTCACCACAAGAAGCACAAAAAGCCCCCATACCGACTTAAGCTGCCTGCGACTAACGGCCTCTTGCATCCCGTAACCAACAGGAGGACCGGACAACTTCCACCTCAAACTCCAGTCGATCAACATATCCGCGGTTGGCATTCATCATTTTGCACTCCACGTCACCCCCAAGGGCCTAACATTAGCCCGATCGTGTCAACGCGTCAACATTCATAACGAAAAAACACTGAGCCCTTTATCGAGGAGTTACGACGGCGACCTTCGCCCCCCATGCTAACCAATCTTCAGGTCCCTTCAATTGCTCTTTCTCTCTCTCGGCCGCTTAACGGTCCCCCCCGCCAAGGTAGGCGCCAAAGACAGAATCCCAACCCCCCTCTCTCTGCCCCTGAAACTCAACAGGTCGAACAATGCGGTAGGATAAGGGCGGTGTTTATACCCATACATATAGGCTTGCCACTCCGCCTGCTCTACTAGCGAAGAAAGGCGGCCGGCAGGACTCTTCCCGAACAATCCAACAAAATTCTCCCTTCGAAACACAGATTTATGAACGGCTACGTGAACCACAACACATAACACCTGTCGATCCAAAGGGCTAGCCAGAGATCTCTAGTCTTATTTGTCGAAGCCCATGGCGCGCTGGTATGCGAGCTTCTCGGCGATGGTAAGGCGGTCGGTATGCCAGTTTCCGCTGCAAAACAAGAACAAGCATTCAACATTCGAGAGACGACGCCGACAAGATAGGGGTGGGGTGATGAGTTACGGCGAGTAATGAAAACGAGACATGGTTGGATTGGCCGACTTGCTGCGCGCCCGGGATAAATACAGTATGCCACACGCACACACGCGTAACGTGCACAGACCCCACACAAGCAAAATATGCAGCAGTACCGTACTGATAACTTCACACGCGGCTTCACGGAGGGCCAGTCTTGCAGCAGAAAAATAGAAAAGGAAGATACAATGAGATGGGCATGCCATCACTTCTATCGAAAGGCCTGATTCAAACAGGTGGAGGAAGCGCTGCATCAGACGAAGTCGCCGATGAACAACTGGTCTGGGGGGGGACTGGCACATGAACACGGCGGCATATACCATCAGCGCCCTAACTGCTGTTTGCGTGGTCCCTCACCCACCTGTCATCCCTCGGTCCTAACCCACACAACAGCAAAAATTATCTAGTAGCGCTACAACAATACAACTTATCTAGTAGCGCTACAACAGTAAAAAAAACACTAGCTTCGCGCGCACCTGCTGCTGCGGTCCCACTTCTGCTTCTTGGTGTTGAAGATGTGCTCGAGGTTGCACGTGAAGAACTCCGGGAAAATCTTGTCCGGGTTGAGGGGGTTCGGGCCACCGTACTGCTTGTCCAGGATCTTGGCGAGAGCCTTGCCGCGGGCCCAGTCGGGAATCGCGGACCTAACAGGCGCCAACACGGGACGGATGATGCACGGCGCGCCCCGCCGTCGCAGACGAGGACAGAAAAAACGTCACTACATCGTTACAGAGATTCGAACGGTGACAGTCACCGCCCGATCAGGAGAAACAACGGCATCTACACATGGCGGGGAAAGACAAAAACAGGGATATCAACCACAATAGCGATCGATTGCTGCCGGCTCGCTAGACGGTGGGGGGGGACTTCGCGTGCACGAGAGGAAGAGGAGGGCGGCGTCGACGGACGAAAACAAAAATAGCCAGAACCGACCGAGCTTCTCTACCCCAAGGAGGCCAAAGAACAAGGGCGAACGGCCAGCGGGTACTAGAGACGTGTGGGTGCCAGATGAACGGTGCTACTCCTTTTCGGGACACAGAGCAAGGGCATCAAGAGATGGTATCGTCAACGCAGACGACGCGTAACACATGATGATGGCAGGGTACCGAACTAACCTCACGCGCGCAATTATCTTCCACTAACGTGAAACTGGGCTCACAAAATCAAACACAAGGGACGCTCAACGCAGACGACGAGTAACACATGATGATGGCAGGGTACCGAACTAACCTCACGCGCGCAATCATCTTCCACTAACGTGAAACTGGGCGCACAAAATCAAACACAAGGGACGCTCAACGCAGACGACGCGTGACACATGATGATGGCAGGGTACCAAACTAACCTCACGCGCGCAATTATCTTCCACTAACGTGAAACTGGGCGCACAAAATCAAACACAAGGGACGCTCAACGCAGACGACGCGTGACACATGATGATGGCAGGGTACCAAACTAACCTCACGCGCGCAATTATCTTCCACTAACGTGAAACTGGGCGCACAAAATCAAACACAAGGGACGCTCAACGCAGACGACGCGTGACACATGATGATGGCAGGGTACCAAACTAACCTCACGCGCGCAATTATCTTCCACTAACGTGAAACTGGGCGCACAAAATCAAACACAAGGGACGCACGCAACTCGATCGTCCCACGCCCACCCCGATCATGACGCACAGCAAGCCTGGCCAGATACTATCCGGCCGCTTAGCCTAGCCCAACGTGCGCAGGCCAACTTGGGCAATCCGGAAAGAACACGGCGCGCCGACACAAGCAAAACACAGGAAGAGAATCCCCTTGCAGCAACTCGACGTCGTACTTCTCTCTCCAACAGGCAGTATGCATACGGTGGTTGGTGCTTCTTGCCCACCGTGACCCGTCTGTCATTCTTGATGCTACCCGCCACTTTCGTCTGGCCAGCTTAAACAAAGCCCACGCCCATAGTGCTTGGGTCTTACTTGTCGCTGGGCTCCTGCGGCTCTTGGATCTCCTGCGCCGCCTCCTCCTCCTCCTCTCCCGACTCCGACCCGGACTCCGGCCTTGACGAAAGAGCGTCCACAGTACGGGTGCAACGCAGGAAAGACGTAGCATGTTCTCAATGAGACAGAGGCGGTGTGAGGTGGGGGAATAGCAGGATCATGTAGGTTTCCGCAGTCGGCACGCACGTTCTGTACAAGCTCCGAGCTGAACGACCGCCAACCGCAGATGGCTCAAGGTACCATCGGAGAACCACGCCGTACATACGTGGCGTACACGCGGCATGGTTCATTGGATACCAACCACCATAGTCCCCCGGGGGATGAACTACTACAATATGCCCATCCCACACCTCCCGGCAAATGCCGTCAAGAAATCGAAAGGGACGCGTGGGCAGCTGGAAAGGAACTGCTTGCGACTGACACTACACTCACTCGACATCGTAGGCGTCGTAGCTCTCGCGCTCTTCCTTGGTTTCCGCCGGGACGGACTTGACCGGGGTAGGCACGGGGTTGGGAACGGGCTTGGGGGCAACGGCAGCGGCCGGAGGCTTCATCGCCGCAGCTGGGGCCGGGGATGGCGTGGAAGCGGTGCCCTTCGTCTTCTTGTTCCTGATCTCCTCCATCCTGATATGTGTAGGCCAATCCATGTGAATCAGGGGGGACGGGGGAGATGGAAAGGAAATACGGCCAGGCCGTTGGTAACGGATGGGAATGGTGACGGTTACAAGCCCCAAGCTCACCAATCATGAGACGGTTCTGGATCATGAAATCAAGTCATGACTGGTTGGCTTGAACAGAGCCCACCCCACGCCTCCTAACGAAGTCAAATAATTCTACGCGGCTGGGTTGTCGCAAAAGCCCAACCCTCCATCCACATGCGGCCTGAGCCAAAAAAGACCTAGTGCGGTTGCTTCATTCAGCCTTAACCTGACACACGTACTACGGCTCACACTTAAGAATCACGACACACCTCTTGGCGATCTCCTCCTTCTTCTTCGCGAGCGCCAGCTGGCGGACCTCTGCCGCGCTTCCGGACGATTTAGAGGGCGTCCAAGACGACGCCGAAGGCACCTGCGGGGCCGCCGCTGCCGCCGGCCTCGGAGGCATAGGCGGCGGCGGCGCCTGCGCCTGGCCCTTGTTTCCGGGGCGGGGCGGAGTCGGCGGGGGCTTCACCGCCACACGCGGGGGCGTCGGCGGCTTGACTGACTTCGCCGCTTCCGCCGCCGCCGCCGCCGCCGCTGCCGCGGCGGTAACCCGCTGAGCCTCCTCCTCTTCCCTGCGAGCAGCAGCCTCGGCCTTCTCCCTAGCGGCCGCCGCCGCTGCCGCCGCTTTCTGTTCCATGGCCGCCCGCTTCTCGGCCCGCTTCTTCTCCTCGGCCTTCCGGAGAGCCTCGGCGGCGGCCGCCTTCTCCGCCAGCCTCTCCGCGGCGCGCCTCTTCTTGTCGGCCTCCTTCCTCTTCCGGTCCTCCTCCTTCCTCCTCCTCTCCTCCTCCTCTAGCTTGCGGGCCTTGGCCTCCCTCTCGGCGGCCGCCTTCAGGGCCGCCTCGCGGGCCTTGAGCTCCGCCTTCGCCTGGGCGTCGCGCCGGGCCTCGTCCGCCGCCTCCTTCTCCGCCAGCGACCTCGCCTTCGCCGCCTCTGCCTCCGACTCAGCCTTAGCCGCCGCCTCCGCCCGGGCTCTGGCCGCCGATGGGGTGCCCTCGCCGCCGCTGCCCGGGGCGTCGCCGCCGCGCTTCAGAGAAGACGTAGAGGACGAGGTGGGCGTGTTGATGTTGTTGGAGGCCTTGCTGCCGCTGAAGTCCAGCTTCTGGGGGGGGGGCATTTGTCCGGTGGCGGACTGCTGCTGCTGCTGTTGCTGCTGCTTCGCGCTTGAGAGGGGTCCCTTGGGCGAAGGGGAACGGAGCTTGAAGGAGTGCACGGAGCCGCTCGCCTTCTTGGAGTTGGAGTCCTTTTTGTGTGAGCAAGAAACGATAGACACAGGGATCAGGTTAAGTGAAGTCGGTGCAGGTCTCACGCCGGTAATCACCGCATGCGCACCGCCATGCTTTTAGGTTGGGCAGGCGGCTCGGAGAATGTCTGGGCCGAGATTTGACTCATGTGGTACATGTGCATAGCTTGGAATAAAAAAGCGAGGGCGCGTTTTTTTTGCGGGAAAACCACGAAACTACCCTCTGCTTCCGGTCTCATATCACCGTGACCTCCACTCCAATCGCCATTGCTCTTCTGAACACTAAAAACAAACAAAATATAGTACCAGCCAGTCAGCTACCGTCAGGACTACTCAAACGGCTGATCGACTTCGCCATGCCTCGACCTACACTTCCTCCCTAACCCTACCATGCGCCGCTATATCATAAAGCAAAAAACAACATCTCACCATGGCGCGGAACTTGGCAAAAGCGTCCTGTGTGGTGCTTCCCGTCGGTGACGGTATCTCCGAGTTGGCAGAGGGGGGTTGCTTCACCCCCACGCGGCTGAAGGCCTTGTGGGCAGCCGCCTTGAGGCCGGAGGGTCCCGGCGTCGATATCGAGTCCTTGGCGAAGGGACTGGCCTTGCGCGAAGGGCCTGAATCATTTGTAGGGCCGGCGCATGCGGAACAACAGGAACGGCAAGCGTGTGACACTTGGCCCTTCACAACAACAGCAGACACCCTGGCAGCAGCGGTGCGAGCGGCTCAATAGTGACTGTTGACTACATGTAGTACCGGTGACCGACACAACAGTATACTGATGGTGAAATGGCGTGACAGAAGACGGGAAAAAAACCCTGTCAAACATGAATTATTAGTTCCGTGCCCGCTTTGGTGCAGTCGAAGTTGCCAGTGCACAGCAGCGGCACTACTGAGAACGCCCCCAAGCTCGTTTCGTGCAGGCTACTACGTTCCCCCGCACCGACCCAATCGGCGTTAGGTAGCATTGTACATCATTTCCAACTCCGCTTAAAAGAGCTACATGAACACCTCCTGCATCTTCTTCCGGGTTGACAAGACCTGGTTGCCAGTCAACAGCGGAACACAACACACTCCGAAAAAGGCGGGCCAGTCATTCGCTCGCACTTACTCTTGGCCGTCGCGGGAGTCCTGTGGCGCCCAGGCGAGCCGAATCCCCCCTTGCTGGGCGACGTCGGCTTGTCGGACGGCTTCTCTGACGGCTTCTCTGACGGCTTCTCGGACGGCGGGGCAGCCGCCGCCGCCGCCGCCACCGCCGCCGCCGCGACCACGCTGCCGCCTACACTGCGCGCGGCGACACCGTCCGTGACGGCGTTAACGGCGGCGGCGGCAGCAGAGTCCTTGGCGATGGGCACGGGTGCAGACCCCGTCGGCGACGCGGGCACCGCCGCCGCGTCGCCGCCGACGGCCTGGTCGGACGCCTTGCTGGCCATGTCCGCCGGACGCGGGGCCGAGCCCTCCGGCTCCGGAGGCGTAGGAGCGGTGGTCGGGGAAGGCTGAGGGGCGTTCCCCTTGGGGGGGGGGGGGGGCTGCGCTGCGCGGGGCGGCGAGGCCGGGGGCATCGGGGCCGGGCTGGAGGGCACCGGGGGGCGGAGCGACGGCGGGGTGACGGGCGTCGGGAGCGACTCGGCCTTGGTCGAAGCGGCGGCCGGAGCGGGCTGCTGCTGCTGCTTGGCCGCTTTCTGCCTGGCAAGGCGGTCCTGAGGGGGGGGGGAAGGGTAGAGGAGAGGGCGAGGGCAAGGGAGGGGGCACATCACACCATGATTGTGAACGCCTTTCTGCGAAACCGTGACACGACAATCAGGTGTGTCCTACTAACTCGACCTGCACAACGAATCTGCAATGACTTGCCTTCCCGCAAACGTAGTTGCTAGAACGCAAGTTCTGGGACATTAGCTCAACCACCAGTCAATGGATCGTCAGATCCGAGTCCCCATTTAATCGACCCTCTTTGCACGAAACCACACCTCCATCTCCTTCTTGAGGCGAGCGCCCTTGGTGTTCGGCGTGTCGTCGTCCTGGTACGGAAGCTTCTTCTCCGGAGACGCAGACCTCTTCGCCGCAGACCGAATCTTCGCAACGACCGCGTCCTGCTCCTGGCCCGACAGCTTGGAGGTCGCCGGTGTCACCGGCACCTGCTGCTGAAGCGGCTGCGACTTGTCGACGCTGTCGCCCGCCGAAGACCGGGAGCTGCGCTCGTTGTTGGCACTGGACAGCGATTCGCGGAGCGGCCTCTTCGGCGTCGTCGCGTCGCCGGCAGCGGAAGAAGTGGTGTTACTGCCGTCCAGGTTGAGCATAGACTCGGCCACCGCCAGCATGGCATCGGTCTTGCGACGCTCGCCAGCTGAGTGCAGGGTCGCGTCCGGTATCGTTGAGCGACGCGTTGGTAGGGGGAGGTTGTGTGCCTTCATAATGTTTCGTAGACAGCTCTACAAATGACTTGTGTCCTCGTTACTCCAAACACAACGAACGCAAAAAGGGTCGGTCGCACGTACTTGATTCTTGTTTAATTCGCAAGCTACCGTGCAGTTTTTTACAGCAACAGCAGTAACGAGTGTTTCGCCATGTACACAGCAGCAACAGCAGTACCTTTGGCTATACCACACACGCATGAACACCTCCCCTTGACGGGGGAGTCGGCGGACACACAAACGAATATGCGTCCCGCAGTACTTGCTAAAGAGACTTGACGTGCTTCATCACTGGGCGCCCAGTTCGCCATGGATGCTACATGCCAAAATACACAAAACACAAGTGAAGGCGCACACGGAAATACATGCGCTCGCTCACCGCACTCAACCGCTGCGCGCGGTTGCGCCCTTGCGGTGTCGACGAAAGTCTTCACGGCGCCCGAGGCTACGGCCTTCTCAAGGCGGGCGGAGAGGACCGGCTTCAGGCCCGACGTGGGCTGCCCGATGACCCGCAGGAAGCGCCGTAGCTGAAGTACGCTCATGCCCGTGGGAGGCACCTGCCAGAGGAGTGTAGGGGAGAGGGCGAGATGATTATGGTCCAACGGGACATAGACTTCACTATCAAGAATGGCCTTGCGGCTGTTTTCGCCCAAGCGCGTGCGACTTGCTGTTATGGGCCAAATTGTGTGCTGCTGGTACTGCTGCGAACGCGGCACAGAGGGATCGAGCATGGACGTGCCTATTACAGCAACGGAGGAAATAAGCCCCCCATTTCGGCACGTTATCGGGGGGAGGAGGTCGGGATAGAGACTCTCTCATGTTTTGTTCTCTAGGACAACCGGAAATTCGCGCCAAAAGATACCCCGAGAAAGGAGCCGGCAGCACGTACGTGTCCTACCGTGAGTACTGCTGTGGTGTAGAGAGAATACATACCACGGCAGGACTCTTAGTTTTTCCGTCGCCTGTCCACCCACACCACTACCATTAGTGAGGCACGGTCGATGAGTAGTGCGATCTATCGTTCACATCGGAGCAGACAGCCAACTAACGCCGGCTGTGTAGATATATTGTCAAAACGTTTCTTTTGCGCCAAAACACATGGACTCGTCGAGTTGACACCAAGGCAACACAAACCGCACCTTGCTAGCGCGAGACCCAGCGGGTTTCGCCACAGCAGCAGCAGAAGCATTCTCCTTGTCCACGGGCGCCGCTTTCTTCGCCACCGAGCGGGGCTGCGTCTGGCTGCCGCTGCTGCTGCTGCTGCCGCTGCCGCCGCCGCTGCTGATACCGTCGACGTTCTCGAGGGCGAGTTTGCCTCGGGCGCGGGGGTCACGCCGTTCGCTGTCGAGCCGCCTGCGCAGCCAGCTGAGCTCGCCGTCCGCACCGTTCTGATTCTGGGCGCTGCGCGTGATGGTGTCCTCCAGGAGATCTCCAACGGCGAGGTAGTTCATCATGTTGTTTGGTGCTGCGTGGAGAAATGTATCGTTGGAAACGCGCGTTCGTCTCCTTTGACTATGTCGCAAAAAATCGACAAACGGTTTATTTTTTCCCGTTCTTCTGGCTGCTGCCGATACTGCTCCGCTTAGACTTAAGGAACAAACCAGCACGAGAATCGTTGGCTTGCAGCAGTGATTGGTCGATACTGGATGCCAAATATGTTTCTCTCTCTCTCCCGCTCTCTCGTTCTCTCGGTTTCCCTCTCTCCGCGGTGTGTCGTGTCGTGGTGTGGGTCGGTCGACGTTGGGGCACCGGGATTTGCCCGTTGTGACAAGATCGGGGATAGGGGGGGGGTAGGAGTTCTCCAGATGGTTCCAAATGAGAACCCAACTGAACCACACAGCTATAAGCAAAATCTACCCGCTCTCTCGCTTTCTCCAGCTCAATTCCAGCCTCGGGGTACAGAGTAGAGCCGGGTAGACGCATACAAGGAGGCAAGGAGACCAAGAGAATCGTGATAAACATGTTGAACCCCATGCTACCCGATGAAGTGGCTGTGAAGCAGGTCCCGAGGCAGCACTTCTATGGCGTGAAGGAACTGTTTGCCTTTCGACACGTGAGTGTCTCAACGGAGTTTGTCGCCCCGAGCTGCCGTCCGTCCTCTGTACGTAACTGTTGTGTGCTGTTCTACAGAGGCCTAAAACTATACCGCAGTACTAGCACGTTGTTCACAACTAAATATTGCGTATATATACGGCAATAGTGATGGAAAGAGAAGCGGTCTACTTTTCGGCCGTGTGGCATGTGGGTTTAACTCGAAACTTCCCCCGACAACCGGGCAAATGTATTATTTTGCAACACCACAGAACAACTAAGAGTTATACTAGCTCCTTCTTGTACAGCAGTCGAAACATCCGCAAATTCTCGGATACCGCAAGAAGGCAGAGGGATGGCACCCCCCTTGACCGATGTTCCAAAGTTGATTACTCCACGACCAAGCTTCACCAATACCAACAATGATGGTGTTCGAAACATCTCGTCCGGGGCTTTCCGTAGTCGTAAATTTATCAGACTCTTTCAGCACCTATTTGGCTGTTAATCAATCGAGCTTTGAAGGTCGATCTAGGGGAGGTGACAGCTCTCCCCCTCTTGCGGTACTCTTATGTCACCCACCCGCCCACCCAGCCGCACTCGGCCACAAGCCCTGGTGTGCTACCCAAGGCAGCAGACAACTGCTGTGTGGGCGAGTTGGTCGACGGTTGCTAGACGGTGTGTTCGTCTTGCCAAACTGCGCTCTTCTTGTCTGTGTCCCGCGAAAGGAGTTTTATCACCTTTCGCGGTACAGCACTGCTGTAGTCCATGAAAGATCAATCGAGTTGTCCGCTTCCTCGTTGTCCGAGGGCGAGTATATCACTTGAGAGTAGTGAGGGCCGGTTCCACCCCGAAAGCACTTTGCGTTTTACCGATGGAACTCTGCGATAAATGGAGAATGTCGGCCCCGAAATACCCTTTTTCAGCCAAATTTGGCACATTAGTTATCAGGTTACATCACTCGTTGAGTGCATGATCACCCATGGTAGATCCAAGGGACCTTCTACTGCATTCTAGGGCTCCACAACGTGTGTAGTACACACTCTGCATTTTCACGTGCATTGCGAGCCGCAGATATTTACCACCAGCCTTGGTACCGTGGGGTGGGGGGCGAGGATTTTCTCCTTTCGATCGCTGTGCCCCTTGCAAGCAAAAACGTGACACAAAGGCCTGTTACCAACAGCAGCAGTAGTAGATGTCCTTTTCGGAACAATTGCGCGAGTAGCTTGCGAGCGACTGGCTTTTTGCTTGCAATTGGTGCAGTACCCGCACCACCGTACGTAACAGGGCAGAGTATACCACCAGAAAGGCAAACAAGTGTGCAAAATTTGGCGACCTAACTCGATAAAACGGCGTAACGGCTGCAGCTACAATGAGCGATAGATGCAACTTGAGACTCGTGAACCGATACCAGGCCCGCGCTCGTATCGGGGGGGGGGGTTGGTCTCGCACTGTCCCTGTTGAGCATGCGGTTGTTGTTGTTGATTCTCGCTGCTCAAAACCCTGTTGGCTACATTTTCTGCGAAGAGCTTTGTTTTGATGAAGTTGACTGTAACTTGGTCACAGCCGGACCCCGAGCAAGGAACAAAGCCTAGCGTGCACAGGAAGGAGAAAATGGCATGGCTCGGAGGCAGTCGAAACCGCTGTTCTTTTTTGCAAGACCAAAAAAAGAAAATTTCCGCTATCCCATATACACAACGGGGAAAGTCAACTGCAAGAGAATGATATTACGGTGCCCCCTCAAACGTTTTCTTGTTTTAACAAGCTCAAGGTCGTTTTTGCAACAGCTCTCGTTGTAGTGATGCCCTTTTTTCTAGCTTTTACGAAGACATTGTTCCCGAAAGGAAAACCGTTATCATTAATATCTGACAACGTCAATGAAAATTCTTCTGGATGTGACAGATGTACTCGACTGAGACGTGGTTGAAGGTATGCAGCCGAGTTCGCTATTTTAAAAGTACTATTGTAAATCTACTTGCGCCGCTGCTAACTACTAGCGATTGGTTCGAGTCGATTTCTTCGCGGACATACGACGAGCGATGTTGTGGCGATCCAAAATTCTAGCCGGCGACACGGATGTCATTTTGTATCGCGTAACGAAGTATTCGATAACGCGGATTATTTGAGTCTATAATCACCAAATGTTTCGCATGAAGCTGGTTACCCAGAGAGCTGAACTGGCTCAGCCGCAGTACGTTGAGACGGGATCCGGAGGAAACCTTCTTTTCTTCGGTACATTTGATATCGATTTTTGTACAGGCTGCAACGCTGGTACATAGTAACCGCATCTTTCCCTTTCCACCCCACGTCCCTGCCTTACCGTCCATACGTCCCCCCCCCCCCCCCCCCCCCCCCCCCCCCCCCCCCCCCCCCCCCCCCCCCCCCCCCCCCCCCCCCCCCCCCCCCCCCCCCCCCCCCCCCCC